CAACTTTTTCTCGTTTGAAAATTCTATTACTTGGGCATAGATTGGTAGAAAATGTGATTTTATGGGGTGAGGAATTGGCTTTACTTTAAGGTAAAGTTATAGATGTTCCTTATCTTGATGTCAAATAAAGAAAAGAGGAATGCTAGTTTTTTTTTTTATTTTTTATAAATATCTGTTCTTTCTGCTTTTTTTAACTATTTTTTTGCATGTAAAATACACTTACACATTAAGCTAAAAATTAAGAAAAACTAATGAAAAGAGCTTGAAAATTTTGAGTTTTAATTATAAGGACAAAATAAAGGGTAAAGTGAATAGTACCAGGATTGACTTTTTAGTGTAAAAATGTGGTTTTTCGTTAAAGTGAACAGTACCGGGAGCTTTTCGTTAAAGTTCCCAAAAAATTAATGTTCTTAAAAAATTAAAAACTTGAAATTTTTTTTGAACAAAAGATACTATCTACATTAAGAGGAAAGAGCGCGGACTTAGTCTCATAATAGGCTACAAATAATGTTATTTAAAATCACTTTTGACGAGAAATGAACTTAAGATCTCTCTTTTACAATTGAAGAGGAATATTACTAGACCGTAAAACTAAATAACAAAACATAATAATATATTAAAACCCAAACAAAATCCAAATTCGACATGGGTACTGCATGTAAAGATCGTATAGATAGCCCAATTGACGACATGAGCATGCATGCATGTTTAAAGTCGTGATTGTTTTGAGGTGAAAACTTGGGGTTTATAGATTAGGATTTGGAAGTGCATGATAGGCTAAGTCCAGGAGGCGGAGGGATTGGCAGGCGGCGATGAAGGGGAGTCGAAGGTGGTGTCTGAGTGGAGGTTGAGGGTTTGGATTTGGAGAATGGAAGATAGGAAGAGCACAAGCAATGAGCAATTTATGCCAAAGGATGTGTTGATCATCGCACTTGCTTTTAGGTGGTAAAAAAGGGTCAGAACACACATTTAAGTGATTGGCAAAGAACAATAGGAAGGGAAGGTAAAACTAACAAACAGCTATTAGAATTACAATGTTGTTATATTGTTTTTTAATAATATTTGCCTACTCAAAAATGAATAAAAGTTCTCGCTAAAAGATTTTCATTGTTGATTTTTATAACCTCGTGTTTGAGATTAGAATTGTTCATATTATAAATCATTCTATAAAGATCATCTCTGAAAAAAAAAATTCAATTAAAATTAAGGTCGTTTGGTTATCGAACTGTATAAAAACATATGAACGGAATTGGTAAAAGCATTATGAACCGTCTATATATTTGCTACAATAGATTGACTAAAAGGCTTATTTTTAATTTATTTTTTGCATATATGATATTTACAGAGTGATTCATAATATGAACAGTTGTAATCATATGCACAAAATTATGTGGTTCAAACACGAAGAATTTTGAGTACGAGTTCCTATTCATTCTTGAGTAGTCAAGTGTTGGTTTTTTTTTTTTGGGTACTATAATTAAGTAGATCTTAGATTTGACTTCAGTATATGACTACAAGTTAATAAGACTAACATATTGTGTGACCTAATTTAATCCATTTTTAGGTTGTTTTAGTGGGAAAAAAATGAGAAGAAGAAAAGGGGAATAGAAATAGTGGGAGTGGGGAAAAAAGATGTCCAATTTGGGAAGTGGTGGGCATTGTTGTTTTTCGGGATGAGTCAATTATGTTCACAACACCAAATCAAGTGGAGAAAATAACAACACAAAATTAAAACAGCATCTCTCCTGGTGGGAGCGCACTTGTTTTTCTCTTTAACACTTTTTATTTTATTTTTCTTTTTTCTTTTAGTAAAGAGAAAATAAAATCATTGTTGTTGATATTATTAATTGGAGAATGATGAGGAAACTCTCTTATAGTGAGATTTTTTATCGACTCTTTGTCACCTCACAGTTTAACGTCAATTTCTATACCAACATTATAAAATATTATGTTAAAAACATAACATGATAGAGAGTCTACAAAGAATTTCATTTTTAAAAGAATCGCTTTTAAAATTTCTTTTATTCACTTGATGTTGAGTTACGGTGGTCCAAGCCCAAATCATTAAACACATTAGTTGAGATCAGATGGGCGTGACAGTATAGCTCAGCAGCTCCATTTACTCTTTACAAACCCAACTGCAACTGTAGCCCAAATATTTTGACTATTTTTCATTTTTACATTCACCCAAACAGAATGTTGCCAATAGAGTGACCACAACTATTGTCTAGGTAGTGATATTTATTTTTGATAGGTAAATGAGAAATTTTAAGTTCGATTCACATTAAACTAACAATTTACACGTTAGATCGAAGTGTGGAACGATTAATCTTAAACTGGGTGGGCTACCTAATTTTCATAATGTGGCTAGTTGAATGCTAACATTAATATTGACGCCAAAGCAAGAAAAATTGGAAAGTCGGCGTTAAAACTAAAAATTAGAGCAGCAAATGTTTTACTCAAAGATTGTGTTCATTAATTGAGTGACCAAATATCTCAAGGATGCCCAGTGACATACAAACTTGAGTTGATAAAGAGTTATCGAGCTTAATTTGGGTGGGATATTAGGCTTAATGAGGATGCAGTTCGGCCATGGGTCAGATTGTCGACACAAAACTTGTAGCTAAAGTGGTTAAGAGTACTTACGCTTATACTTAAAAGTTTTGTTTCTTTAGTTGTAAGTCAATAGTCACATGTGTGGTTGAAGTCCTAGCTAAATGTTTGCTAGGCATTTAGGAATAGCCGGTGAAAACCCAGAGAGCATAGAGCTGATCCAGTTTCTTGCTTTCCAAAGTGTTAAGCAAAGCCCACAGAGCATTGCTTCCACCTCTGAATTTTGGTCTAGAAAACAAGTACAAAATGATGATGATGCGTCGCTGCACAAAAGCCGGATCTTAAATTTGTAGTTCATCTTATTATTATTATTACTACTACCTTTGCATTGGAATTTGGAAATCCAAAAAAAAACCAAAAAAATTAAGAAAAAAGACAATGTTTAGTAAATGGTTGTCAGCTTTTGAAAATGTTTGTCTCAAATGGTTCATGCATAAAAACGTCACCATGTTTTTTTGTTTGAAGGAGGATTTTTTTTTTTTGGATTTTCTTTATAAGAATCTTGGAGATCATTAAATCACATTCGTTTATCGTATATCGTGTGATCATAAATTATTGTAAATTTTTTATTTAAAATTAAATATAAATAATACCTAATAAAAATTAATCGCACGATTTACGATAAAAATATCTGTAAAGGATCCTCATTGTTTTTGTTTGCAATTTTTGCTTTGTCTTTCGTTTATGCTTAATGAATTAAACTGGTTGGAGTTAAATTTGTATTGCTTTTTTTAGTAAATTGAAATAAAAGTTAGTAAAGCAGAGGGAGGGGGCAACCAGTTTCTACAAAAAATGGCGCTCATTCAATGCCCTTCTGCCTACTCCAACTCCTGTTTTTGAGTTTTGACTGCCCAAATAAGCAGTTTTTGAAGGGGACCCGACCCGGCTTCTCTGCCCTTTCACTTTCCATACATTCTCATCCCTTTCTATTTTATGCGATCACGGTTAAGCCACGTTAATATTTTGTATTGACTTTTTTATAGAGATAATAAGACAAAAAACAATAATAATATAAAATATTAACGTGGCTTAACCGTGACCGCATAAATAGGAAGGAATGAGAGTGTATGAGAAGTGGAATGGCAGAGAAGCCAGGTCCTTTTGAAGGCTGTGTTGTTGGTTAAATAAGTGCTTTTGTGTTGTACAACAGAAAGGTAGCTAGTAGATTAGATAATAGCTTCTGGGTATTATATGCACTTGAGAAGCTCAGCTCAAATTCTTCAAGTGCAAATTTGCTGACTTATATGGAGCTTCTAGTTCAGTTGATGAACAATGTTCACCTTGCACTCGAAATTCTAAATTCGATTTCTCTTCTTTCAATATTTGTATGTATTAAAAAAAAAATTTATTATTAGCACTTAAAAAAATCTCATTCTGCTCTTCAAACTTTCTATATTAGGAAAGAAAAATACGCTTAGGATGAGTGTAAAATAAGATTTTTGGAATGCTAATAACACTTCTCTAAAAAAAAACATATTACATAACATATGTGTTTATCATATTTGTCTACGAGCGTGTGATTAACAGCTTCAATTGTAGATCACTTTACCACTAGTAGAGAGAATTCGACTATCATTCTCCTTCCTTTGTACTAGTAAAAAAGTATTTTGAGATCGATCAACACTTTTAATAAACAATTGAAATTGGTTTGTGAAATTATAACCTTTGTTCGTTTTGTCCGCTCTAACTCTAAATTCGGTTTGGACACTTATAGCGTTTTAAGATCTGTTGATTAGAGAATTTGTGCTCACCATTTCTTAGTCGTGCTGATGTTTTCCACCTTATCAATTATTGTTAGATGAATTTAAATCTCGAAATTCTTATAGCAGATACATTAAATGATAGCCACTCAACAGTAATTAATGAGATGGTGAGCAAAAATATTTCTTATGTTGATTTTCCACTTTTGACAAATTAGAGAAGACATTCCTAAGTTTTTTTGCTAAAAAATCATAAATTACGAATAACGTATTCTGACCGAATAAAATCAAGGATCAGAATCGCTAAATTTATTAATCTTTATTTGAAAATCAATCCTGCAAAAATCATTTGAATTGTAGACCGTTTAATCATCCAAACATATCAAATAAATGGACAACTCATGATGAATATTTATTTGATACCTACATCATCAATTTATTCTATACATTTGAAATATTAGATGATCTCCGATTGAAATGAATTTTTGTAGAGTATGGGTGATCTTCAAATAAAGATTAAGAAATTCAACAGTGTTGATCGTAAATTTTTTTACACAATCAAGATACGTTATTCGCAAGAAATAATGAGCTCGTCCCAAAGAGGGAAAGCAAGTATTATCCTTTTAAGTTTTAGGCTTCAAATCCGGTGCAAGTCCAAAATCATCAAAATTGGGCCTTTACTAAAAAAATGCAAAGAAAAAGGAAGTTGATAAGGCCTTGGTCCCAAATAAAAGCGAAGGAAAAGCGGGTAAATCTTGGCAGGCCCAAATTAAAGAGTTCCAAAGAAAAAGAAACTACTTTGCTGCTTTTGACAGTTTGACCCCAAATACCGTTTGCCATACACAGTGATCTGCGCAGGAAAGCTCTAATCAACGAACAGGTAAGTTTCACAGTAGATTCTCCTTTTCAATTCTGTTGATAATTTTGTTTTAATTTTTTTTTTTTTTTTTATAATTCAGATTGATCGCAGCTTAGATTTGTTATTGAATCAATTTCTTTCCACATCGCGATTTTCCGATCAGTTTGGTTGCCGAGAAAATGATAGAAAGGAAACGAAAATCTGCAGATTCTCAGTGCATCTGGAATTATATTTTCCCTATTGAATCCCAATAGAATAATCTAATAGCTGAATCGATTTTCCTATGAATATTTTGAATTTGTATAAACTAGGGTTTGTGGAACTCTGAGCAGAGCTAAGATTTTTAGGTTAACGTTGTTAAGGCGTGAGAGATGGCGTTTATAATGGAGTTTGCTGAGAATCTGGTACTGATGCTTATGGAGGACCCTAAAGAGAGGGATAGGAAGTTCAGGGAGCACGTGTATGCGGTGAAAGACCAAGGAGATGTGGGCGCTACCTCTCCGTCCCTACGGATTTTGGACCCTTGAACGCCACAACTCGCAGCTCCGTTGGGATGCCCAGATTAGCCAGGTTGCAGGCCGGAGGGACCCCTATGATGATCTCCTCCAACACAGCTATGATCCCGTCACCCCCCAAAACTAATTGAGTGCGTATAAAGTTTGTTTTTTTTACTGTTTTGAAGCCATTCTGTGTTTCTAATGCATCGTTCGAACTGTGTGGAAGTTGTTGTATTGTTGTCAGTCGCTTCCGAGATAATGTAGGTTGAATATGTCTTCATGCTAATTGCTCCAAGGCACGTCCTTAGGAGAGTTGATATTGGCGTTTGCGGTAGCTTTGTGCTATATGTTTGGGTCATTGCTGCAAGTTTCATGTTTTTTATTCTAAATTTAGCCGGTGAAGGTCTTTAACAAACTGAGACAAAAGTAGATGTAAATTTACATAGACGCTAGCGAAGCTAAGTAGCTATCCACATTTCTTCAGTTCATCCACACCCGCCAACCTACCATATTAGGCTTTTCTTTAAAACAGGACAGCTAGTATAATTAAAGGGCCAAACTTAAAACCACCAAAGGCAGGCAGGCGGACATTCCTTCAATCAGAATCAGAAGAATCCGATTTGTGCTCGACATGTGCAGCCGCATCTTCCTTCTTCTCCGCCTCTCCCTTTTCGACTGCCTTGGATATCTCATCGATCGGAACCAGGGGTAGATAGCCGAAGATGGCATAGCCCTTACGGGTCAAGTCCTTTACGGTGTGGTTGTATTTGCCAGACCAGTGCGCAGCGGTTGGTGCAGCCTTCTGTGCCACTGTGTGGATGGAAGGGTACTTGTTGAGTCCGACCCACAACTTAACAGATTGTTTCAAGACAAAGTTCTTGTACTCAGTAGCTGTATAGTGAATAGCTGCGCGTGGACCGCCAGTTTCAACCTCCTTTAAAATTCTGTGTCCCTTTTCCGCTGCCTTCTGGATCAAGCAGTGCGCTTGGCTCGCGACCTGCTTAGCCACTGGAGGAGCATGCTTATCGAACTTGTCTTTGCCTTCATCCACCTGTGAACAATGAATATATCAAGCCTCGATCACCTCGATCATTCATGCACGAAGGGCATTCACAAGGGGCATAACAGAACAAACGGGCATCATAAAGCTGTTGAACACGTACACTATAACCTCATTAAACAAGTAGCTCACAAACCCAGTTAGCAAAAACACAAAGAAATCTAGTTGGATAAGAAGCATCAATTATCCATCGAGATGTAGAAATCGCGGTCTTTTTATCCGGCACCAGCCAAAAAACTAAGGAGGAGTTCATGAATGATGTCTCAAGTCTCTTATTAAAATGGATTCCGACGGGCCTTTTCGGCGTCAGGGTACAAAACCAGGCAGAACACAACTAAAAACCACCTTCATAGATCATAAGCAAAAGAAAAATCATGCATAACCACCACACAGCTTTCAAATTTCACAAATTATTAACTGTTAATTCACCAAATTAATTCGAGAAATTTCCCAATCTGAACAATTTCAGTTTCTTTCTTTCTAATCAGGAAAAACACAAATAGAAGAGAAGAGAATACCTTGGCGTCGAGGAAAGCGAGGACGTCGTCAGGTACGCCCTTAAACTTCCGGTAAACGGGACCAACGACGGCGGTGACTGCGCCCTCCACAGTCCCGACCGTCGATCTGAGCGGCCCGGAGTTCTGCTTGGCGTAATCGTACAGATTCGAAACGCACACCAGCGTCTGAATCGCCGCCACCCTCAGAAACCCTAGGTGCTTCAGTTCCCTCTCCTTGCTGATCTCCACTCCCTTCTGCAACAACACATCAGAAAGTTGCTAAAGATCCAGGCAAATATAACATAAAAACAAATCGAGAAAGATAAACAAAACGACAATTGAGATGATTGGAAATTTAATTACATCGACGGTGGCCATCGTTTGTAGATTCTTTTCTCTTCGCGGCGGTTTTTGAGATTCCGGGAAGTCGCGACTGAAAGACGAAATGGCTTTGGAAAATACGGATGGCTTTTGGTTCGAGGGTAAATTTATAGTGGCAGCGGTTACGAAAGGAATCTTGTGCGTTCGGGCGATGGACGGTGGATGTCGGATCTGTTTTGTTTTGAGTGGGCCCAGAGGGTCAGTCGACTCCGGATCCAATAGCAGGGAAGGGATGTTTGTGGAACTTTCAGGAAAGGAGCTTGACGTATGGATTCTCGTGGCGAGTAGCCTAGCAGCTTTGCCCCCACCAAGTCCGAGTTTGAGGCTGAAATGCTTTGTGTGGGCCTAGTCATTATTACGTGGGGCCCACTACGAAACCACCGGAGCTAAGTCTAGCGTACGCATTTTATGGGAGAGATCCACGTTAAATTAGTAGGTCCTAAATTTATTACACAAAAAAATGATTTTTTTAGCAGTACGATTTAGATGTATTTTTTTTCATTTATAAATGATTGGTTGTTAAAAACGAATTTTAATCATGTTATTTTTAATATATTGTGAGGATAAGTCTATCTTCATCTTTATGTAGATAATATCGTTTGTTTAAAAAAAAAAAATCTCTTTGAATGATTTTTTTTTCCTTGGCATATTCTTATTTAATCTCAAACTTTGAAGAGAAAAAAGAAAACAAAAAGAAAATGTCATGTGTATAAATTATTTTCTTATCCGATAGAAAATAAATAAATTATTCCTTTAAAAAATTTATTCGGGGTTATTATATTATATATACTTGTGTTAATGATAATCCACTACGTACGTACTGTTATGATTGATTTTGATGTGTTATCGTCCTTATTATAACAGGGAAGCTAAGCATATTCTATGGGACAATGCAAGGACAAATCTTAAAAACAACCAAAGGAGACGATAGAGCAAAATGCACAGCAGCGTTATATATGCTAATGAAAAAGATTTAGCTACTTAAAGACGAATAGAAACTTCTACCCAAAATTTTAAGTGTTCAACTCATAAAGTTTTGTGCTTATAACAGAACCGTTCATATTGTAAATCACATTGTAAAGATCATCTCTGTAAAAAAATGAATTAAAATTAAGATCGTTTAGTTAATCTATTCTAACAAATATATAGAAAATATATAGACAGGTCGTAATACTTTTACCAATTTCATTCATTTGTTTTTATATAGTTCGATGATTAAACGACCTGAGTTTTAATTGATTTTTTACATAGAGGATCTTTATAGAGTGATTTATAATATGAATGGTTTTGATTATAAAAACGAAGTTTTATCAATTGACAACGAATAATTTTGAGTAGGAACTCCTGATCCTTCTTTGAGTATGCAAGTATTGTTCTATACTAATTACCATGACGCCATCCGATTCCACTCAATCATCGTCATATCCTTAAAGACCTTGGTTTAGGAAAATGCAAGTGTGGATGGGCAAAACCAATCCCCAGTTTACCACATCATACTCCTAATCACCGTAAAAATTTACACCTTAACTTTCCGCGAGTATCAGAAAATCAAGTCCGGCGGACAGACAGCAAATGCTGGAAATTTTCAGACGGCTTGAGACTTCTGGCGCTTCAAGTACTGAAGAATTGGCTCCTTCACCTGTACAACAGGAAAAATGCCCAAACTGCAATATATAAGAATCGTACCATTTTTTTTCACTAGCATTTTCCTGGTGACAAAAACTACAGCAGGCAATTTTATAGCGAGGATTTCGAGTCATACGCACCGTGCTTGTTTTCCTCGACCGCTTGTCTTGGCTACACCTCCCGCTGCAGATCACTCTGTCCCCATCATCACAGTAATCAGTGTTGCCATTTACCCTGCCGTTATCATTTCCCGGCACGAAGCTCTCCCTTGAAGTCACCGGCTGCAGAATATCCAAACAAAATTTAAACTTGGTATAAACAGTCAAGTTGGAGGAAGAGAAGAATGACATGAAGTGGAAGGGTGGAGGATTAAATTAATAGACTCGCCTCAGCCCTGCTTGTGGGAGTGTTTGGATGCTCCCTTGTCTTTGAAGCAGTCTGCTCACTCCTCATTGGACTGTATTGAGGCCCGTTCGATCTTAGTTTCATGCGTGTGAGATCTGATCCAATGGAGTGGAGGGCACCGCATGTGGATGTGTCCCTGATGCTGCTTCCTGATAACGAAAGCAGATTTTAGGCCTTAAGTGCTTTTTTAAAAAGTAGCCAGGGACTTGAGTTCGTTATTATGTACTGAAAGTACTTAAGTCTTCTACCCATTGTACGGAGATCTAGATGACTGGACTTGTTATTTGGTTCAGTGTTGTCGACATCCTGTTCATTGTAAGAAATCCAAGTAAATATGTAAGGGAAAACAAATGGAAATAAATTTGAGAAAGATGCAGACATGTTTGCAGATATACCATTGCATCATTGTTCAGAGCTTTCTTCACTTCATTCAGCTTTTTCTCGGTGATCTTAGAATGGATCACACGCTTTCCTGGTTTAGAAAACAAATGAAAATGGTAAGTTAGATATAATTTGATCCCATGTAAGCGCCAAATACAAGGATTTTAGACTGGATTAACTGCACACACCTAGCCTTCGGTTGCCTTTGGCTTCAAGAAAACCCTCTCGTGCCATTTTATCGATGAACTTACGCACAGTAGTCTGATTCACTTCTCCACCAAGCTTGTTCTGAAGCTTTGTAACTGTCACATACTGCATTGGGAGGGCATGATACAGCGCCTGAGATGGACAAATAGAGTCAGGTACTTGGGGAGACAAGATATTTGAGGAGACTGCAGAGAACAGAAAATTTCGAGACAGGAAATGCAATCACCTTTATGTACATGAGATCATTAACCTTTAAAGTTTTGTCAGCAACTGGTACTTGAGCATCCATTTCTTCTTTCACCATAGTGAACTCATAATCTGACTTCTGCATCGAGGAAAAAGAGTTTGACTCAAAAGCAATAAAATATGGCCTCAGAATTGAAACAAAAAGGAGAACATAAAGCAAACCTTCGGCCTGTTGATGGTGTAAGTGTCCCCTGCAGGTTTTGATAGAACACCTTCTATGACAAGCTTGTCCATAATTTCTGTGATCCAGCCAAATAGGGTTGAAAAGTGGGAAATCTTGTTACACGAAATAAGTTAAAACAAACCAGCAGCTCTAAGTGCATTCCTCAGCTTACCTTCAGTCAGAACCTGCAGCATATAAGAATGGTGAGATGGAGTCCATGAGCATACTACAATATACCAACAGAGCAAGGTTTTTTGACACAATTTTTCCGGTAGAGACTTGATAAGTTGAAATACTTACCACTGAGATGTCCGGGAAATTTGAGAGAACATCAGTAAGTTCAACAGTGTCAAGGTGGAGGCCACTGATCCAGTCCTTTATCCGAGCCAATTGATGTTCATCTTGCACTGAATCCTGAGTGTTATCTACACATCATATAAAAAACCCGTTGGGTTAGTACTGCAGGAAAATTAGTTTAGGAATTAAAGCCAAGAAATAACCCATCATTCAGCACAGTTTTCAAGTTCAAACTTGTTTGTGTCACTCTCACTGTGATATCAAAATTGGTCTGCTAACTTAGAAAAGTGTAATTCTTTTATTACCTTCATCAACCATTCTGTCATCTTCCTGCGGTGCGCTGTTATCTTTCTGTGGTTGTTGCTTATCTGTCAAGAAAGCCATTGTTACTTCCACTAACAACTCAGACCAACAGATAAGCAGGTGCGAATTACAGTGCAAAGCCAAACCATACAATAGACTCAGAACCCTCACCTACTGGAGCAACTATATAATGATCGTCTTGTGATTGGTTAACCTGAAAGTAGTGCCAAACCATATCATGTTTCAAGTGTAAACTATTTTGTAAAGAAAATAATGACATCAATTAGCACCATTAAGCTCATTGGAAACTCTAAACCCAAACAAGATATAAAATATTACCTCACTGTCAGAATCAGATCCCGAATAATCATCCCTTTGCATAGAATCAGCTCCTAAGCTCACTTCATCATCTTGAATATCATCATTTTCGTCCTCACAAGGATCAAGGATGCTTTTTACCTGTACACGTAACGAGTAAAACAAAGTGAAATCTGGACCACAAATCATGAATTTGAATATCAGACATTCCAAAAACATTCTCAATTCCCTACCTTCAGCGCTAATACAAGATGCTTGCTGTTTACATTCCCAACCTCCATTCTCAAAGGATTCTTGGTCCATGCATTACGAGCTTCTTCCTCAGAGCAGCCCCTGAAGAATGGAGGCTCATACTCCGCTGGCTGCAATGTCAAAAATATAACTGTCATCTTTTGGCAAACAAAGCATATTTTTGACAAAACGAGAAAGAAATTAAAAATGGTGTACCGTCACATCATCGTAGTATAGGAGCTTCATCAATATGGTCCGCTGAAACAAAAAGAGTTTCAAACATCTTTAAATACCAGACCAACACAGAAACACTCTTCCAGGAATTGCAGAATGAATTAAAATTTGCAGGTAGCAAATTATAGGTTTACCTACCTCTTCAGGAATTTTATCAAGAGTTCTCATCAATTGAACCAATGTGCGGACCATTTTACAAGCAGAGCTCCTGGAAAAACATAGTTACAAAAATTCTCAAATTTGCCAAACAGGATGGGAATAAAATCTGGAACGAATTTCGATCAAAGTTACCTCATCTGGTTGGGAGTTATTTCTGCTGTTGAGTTGCACTTGAATGTTCCACCCTCTTTTTTCTTGTTTCCAGAGCGACTTATATTCATCGAAACCTCCTGGCTTTCAGAATTTGAGTAACTGAAAGAAACTGCAGGTGAAGATCGATTAGAACAAGTCAATTCTCCAAAACTGAGGCAAACAAATGTAGACTAAAATTCACACTCCAAAATCAACTAGCATTGAACCTAAACAAATTTTGCAAAGTGATTTGGATGATTAATTTCGTGAATAGCTTACAAGTGTATTCCTCAATCATTGGTCCTTCAACTGTCTCGCACACACAGAACAATAGCGTCTTCAGGTACTTCTTCTGCAATGCATCGTATACACCTACAAATGTTTGAAAACAACATAAAAACTAATAGCCAAACAAGAAATCGAAACCGAAACCACATTCAAAATTTCAAATCAACGAGATGAGATCAAATTAAAAAATTAATGACCAGTGAGTTCAACAATCTATACCTTTCTCCATCCAATCAATAAGCCTGCGAGATTCCGCATCCATTGGCATTAGCTTTTTGATCTTCATCTCTATCGAAGATTTCAAAATTCCAAAGAAAAATCACAAACCAACATTTGAAATTAAAACAAAAACTACAACAAATTGAGATTATTAAACAATTACCTAAAGCAGGAACAGACTTATCATTGAAGTACTTCTCCGGAAACAGGCCTCTGATGTAACTGATATTGAATATAGCAATACGAAGCAAGTTCCTCGTCTGAGCTCAGATCAAACGAAATTGAATGCTCAGAATCAGTTCATACAAGTATCGAAGAATTCATCATCAAAATCGTATAAACATTGCGATTTAGATTTTATGAAATCTAACGCGTTTCTTCAATCAAATTTACTCATGCTAAGACATAATCCTACGTATATTTAATTTTTCTGAAAAATGAATAACAAGCTTCAGATCTTCATACTGATCGTTAATTACTTGTCAAAAACTCGTATCATCATCCTCGGTGTCCAGATATGGTCTATATTTGAAAATCCGTCAACGATCCTAACAGAACTTTCAGAGTTATGCAATATTTCACAACAAATTTCATCAAGAGAGAGAGGAAGAGAGAAATTCAATCACATATGAGAAAAAATTTAATGAAACAAAAACCGATCAGATTTAGAAAACGAAATACTATCTACTGAGAAATTCAGAAGAATCACTAACAACTTCAAATTACCGCTACGATTATTCTTAGTAGATGAGCGATCGAGGATTACCAGAAGAAGCGAGTCCTGCTCGGTGATTTCTGCTTCCTTCACTTTCTGTGCGACGACCTGAAACGAAGAAGTTGCAGTGAGATTCAGATAGATTTCAACAATTGGTACTAGCAGATTGACAAAGATCGTCGAGTATAAAGGAATTGTTCAGAGAGCTGAGAAGCTCACCATTGTTGCACTTTTCTCGGAGAGAAAAATGAAAATCGGAAGTTAGAGAGAGAGAGAGAGAGAGAGAGAGTAGAGAGAGAGTGAATGAACGAATGAGAGCTTTGAGTTTGCTTATGAAGAAACTTGCTAGCTGGACGAAAATTTGAATTATTACAAACGAGGAAAGTGGCGGGAGGCGGTGAAATTTGTAAGTTACTTGCGACGGTTCACGAATTGCAGATCATGCAAAACGCGTCGAGCTGGGATAGAGAATCGGTTTCCGTACACGTGTCCCAAAACGGAAATCGGAGTTTGTTACGGCCTCGGTTTCACGGAGGCCGTGCCTGTATTAGTCCCTAATCACTAGTCGTTAATGATTAATTAGTTGCGATTTGATAACGAGCGCGCCAATTCCAACGGTAACACCTGATTAGCTGGCACTTAATTACGCATCAGTTCCCACTTAACAAAGGCCTCAATTCCCCTACCAAGTCAAAGAGGTCTCAATTTTTTTTATTTTTTTATTTTTTATTTTTGGTAAACAGATGTCTCAATTTTTATTCACGTATAACTTTTAAAAGGACCGACTCTGAACGTATAATAGAAGTTTGTTTGCCTAGATTACTCTCATATAAATCACTTTCGAAGTTGCTCGAGAATGCCTTCGTTTTCTTTTTGTTTCTCAACTACTTTTGAATTGTATGTGTGAAATTAAGAACATGTGTGAACCAAAATGAAAGTAGCACCGTAGCTACTTTTGAAGTTTATCTTTAAATTAATTTTCTCACACAACAATTTTTCCACACCACAGTTTTACCAAATAGCGTAGTAATAAAAAACTTTTTGATAAAGCAGAAGCTGTACCAAATCAACCCCAAACGGACAGGTTTAATTTCTTTCTTATATCATTTCAAGTGAAAAATGGTACACAATTCTACCATATTCAAAAGAAAACCCAACTTCTTAGTGTCAAATAAACTTATATGGTAATTACTAATTAATTACTAGAGTTTTTTCTTCTTTTGCTACAACCTCTTTCAAATAAAGCAGAAAAGATGTTTGACCGGGCGAGTGTAGCAAATGGAAGTTCTTCCTTCACTCATTGTGGTTTTTTGGCAAATAGAGATCACTTTCTTTGTGTGTGTGAATCGCACAATCGGAGGTCAGGTATGAGACACAGGTGACCACATATCCTTGCTCCATCTGCGTCTCATCCAAGATCACCGCCTCCGATTGATCCACCAACCCTGAAACCAACAGCCCAGTACAAGTAGAGCAGGCACCGGACCTGCATAGTAAGGCAACTTCAGCCCTGCGCTTTCAGCTGACTCAAGGATGTGAACCTCATCTGGAACTTCAAACTCATTCTCCTCACCATTTGGTCCCACCAGTTTCACTTTGCAAACTGCCATTGCAGATACAGAGACCGAAGATTTCAACCCAAATGCTTTAGAATTGTTCTTCACAGAACCAAGAGACAAACGGCGACTCTTAAGTCTTAACAACGGCTGAGCCTCTGTCTGATGTTGCACTTCTCATTGAGCATAATGTCGAAAGCCAGGAAGTCTATATTCTAACACTCGCCATCAGAACTCAGGTATCCGGTGGATTATCCGAGCAAAGTTCGAGCAAGGTCACGAGATGTTCATGTTATAAACTGAAGAACACTTTTCACAAATTCTCTCTTCTTTTTTAATTAATCTCTCAACAAAGACTTTTCGAGCTAAAATACGAAGCCAAAGCTTCATAAATAAAAATTTAACAATCAATACAACGAGCAAACAATATTCCACTTCCAACACTTCAAACATGTATAAGACCTTTAAATTAGTAGGAAACTTATTTGTAAGCAAATTTTCTATCAAAAGTTTATGTGTCTTCCTTGCATTTGACCCATGTTACACCCCAATTGCATCTCCGTCTTTCTCAATGAAAGCACATAACTTCACAACAAACAGAACAGCGTTTCTGGTTCTAAAAGTACAGAAAATACACCCAGAAGAGATTTCAAACTGTGAAACTGATCATTCACATTGAAGGCTTACCTTTCGAAAGGATCGCCTCTGTTTGAGTTAAGAGGATAAACAGCTGCAGCTATTTTCTCCCTAAGGCTGAATTTGCTTGCAATTAGTGGCCGAACATCTTCTACTCCAACCAAGCTCTCCAAAAAAGGAAGTAAGAAGAGTAATTCTTTATCAGAACGATCATCAAACCAGCTCTCAATTGGAATTCCATTGTCTACTTGGAACCCGAATGCCTGAAATAAAGCCAACACGCCAAAATGTTACACCTAGAAAAAACAAAGTTAATAGTATTGAAGAAAGGACAAACTTAATCCTACGGGTTTCCTCCTGAGATTAGCATAATTTAAAGTTGTATTCGTGTTTCATATTTCACATTTCACTTGTCCCTGACAAAGTGATCCAGTGTCGTAAATGTTCATAAATGAAATCTGAGATCCGTGTCGTAAATGTTCATTAAATGCAATCTGATATATCCCGTTGAAACTGCTCCAAACATGGCTTCACCAAAAGCTTAGAAAGGACTGACTACATTTGATTCCACAAGCAGGCAAGGGAACCCACTAACGATGTACATTACAAGCAAAAAACTGAAGATCGACCATTGACTCGAAACATATAATGCTGATAAATTTCACCAGAAGGCTAGATGGAGCTTCTTCCAACTCACTTTTATTCATCACCATATTAGGCTTATCCAGAAACTCACTGATCCAAGGAAAAACAAAGACACTCCAAAAAGTATGCCAAAATATGCTCCTAGACACATTAAATTCAATAAATCACCTTCAAGAGCTTAGTGCACAGATAACTGCTAATGGCAGAGCGGGGAAGGTTGGAATAGCATACCTGTGGAGAGTTGTCGATTATGATTGTGTGTGCCAAATCACGACCAAGAACTGACAAATCTTTGAGGTAATTCCCCTCCACAAAAACACAGGAATCCCGAAAAACACGATGGCGAAATATCTTCCTTTTTGGGTCCAGCACATTTAGAAGTTGCTCTGCATAAATACTTTGACTAGCTGTAAATATTATGATCTCAAAAAGATTGGAAACTTTGTCCAGAAAATCTCTGAGATGAGGACGGCATCGGACATATACTGTATGCTTTTGGAGGTTAAAATTTACGGCAAAAGTGAAGTCTGCATCAGCACAAGGTTCTAGTGTGGAGTGTACCAAGGTTTCTGCCAGATCAAAATCAGTCTTAGCATGCAAATCTAACCAATAGTTCAAACAAAACATCAACAAGCGAGGAATGATAGAAATCAAGGACTAAATGTTGCATCATATAAAAAATATAGTGAGATAAAAATGCATGCCTGTGTCCTAGAAAAAGACACATTTGGCACCCCTTATAAGGAAAAACGAATGCAGAAAAGTGGACTACAATTTAATCAGATCTTCCATCAGAATACAAACAGCTATGAGAAAATGCTCATGCACCGATCCCCCGTCCTACCATACAGCTACAATAATCAAGCAATAACAATTGAAATGAAGATAAATGTTATCAACAAATGTTCTTTTTGACTCTCATCATAAAGATGACAAAAGCAAAACATGCTATAAGGAAGTTACAGTCTTCAGACACATCCAGATTATTTTGGCAGAAGAAACAGGGAAAAGATCAAACTCAATGCAACACCCTATCACATATCAACACTTAGTTTCATGAACCATGAACAGTCCATAAACAATGAGATGTATAGTTACAAATCGTTCCTAAGTTGAGACTTGAGAGTCATTTGAATTAATGAATAAGGATATAAAAAATGATACAACGGTTTGCCATTATTCTCACCATCCAAGTCCAAAACAAGACTAGTAGGAGGACAACGCCGTGTCTGTTTAGGTAAAAGCATCGGCCGAAAAGTTGGAACAACTGCTGATAAGTCAGGTAAGTTCTTGATAAAGAAGTAAGGATCAAAGTCATCAACTTCCTCATACTCGTCATCATCTGTGTATAAATCAGTTGACATGGGCTCGTGACCATGTTCATCCACACATTCCAACTTGGAATTTTTCATGGCAAGATATATGGCTGAGACTTCAGAAGAAATAGTGGCTGGATCCACAACTGCATTAAAATGAGGATACACATTAGTTGTGCCACATATCACATAGTTTTTGTGCATTCTATTTTGCTCATACATTTTGTTTCATTTCATTTGTATTACCAGGACATGTTATATTTACTGAAGAAAATGTGTTCTCACGGTAACTCCTCTCATCTCTAACCATGGATTCGGAAGTCTCTTGAACAAAATGACCATTCAGCACATCAACCCTTGAGTACATTATTTCACAATCTTGATGATAACTGTGGTCTCCATTTCCAAAGAATTTAACAAAATCAACTAGGAAAACAAAAACCGTAAGGTCACAACAGTCTCAAGAAAACCACAAAACTTTTCAGTAAGATCTTTTTAACCATTAATACAGAAGGAAAGAGACACGATTACACAATCATAAATGTGAAATACATATATAAAATATAAAAAATGTTTGTTCATCTACCTCCATTATCAGATTCCCCTTCGGCATGTTTAGATATGTGAAAGGCAGGAGAAAATATAGTTTCTGCTTCGCAATCAGTAGTTCCCTCTTTACAATCCTGCAGTATGATATGATATGGTCAATTTGAGAAATTTTTCAATACTGAATGCTCTGTTTCGTTTCTTCTTCTTTTTGTTTTTGCTTTATAGGCAACGTAACTCAGCTGGGCATGGCATAGCTAGTTAATTACCTTAATATCTATGCAATCATCACGCATAGCATCATGCCCCAAACAAGTGTCAGCAGTCCCATCACGCGTTGAGTCATAATTCAAATTTGAATTGGTTGCAGTAACAGGCCCCCCATTCTTTTTATGAGTGCCATCTGAAAGTTGTGGTATAAAGATGACAATTAACAACAGTAACTGGATAGAATCTTGACGACAAAAAAAAACAAAGAGAAATTGGAAGCCATTCTTCTGCCTCTATGGGTTAGAAAAAGTTTCAAAATTGCCACTATGGATACAAGTATGCTACCAAAAGAAATTTGTCAGGGGATGTCACCATTTAACACTTAGAAGTAAAATGTGCACTAAATATATTCCATACAAGTATGGGGAACATTTCCCGAGGTTATTGCGTAACGAATAAGAAGTTAACCTACCTATTCTCTGCTTCCTTGCTGAAGATGTAATTAGGTCAGCAACTTTCTTTTCCACAACTTGCACACTTTCATATGCTTTCTTCTGAGCTCTTGTAACCTTGGGACAAGCATGCTCTCTCACAGCAGTTCTTCCGGAACTTCTTTTCTTCGTTTGCATTTTGACTTGAATTAAACAGCTTAATTTTGAGAAGGCTGCAGGTGTGCCTACTTGACTTTGGAAGAAAGAATTCAAATTTCAGAAATCGGCTAATAAGTCAAGCATCCTACATTCATAATAACTTCCAATCCGAGGCTTAATCACTCTATACCGGCGAATCAACTATGTCTAATTCAAACAGCTCAAGGTTTCAAAACTTGGGGTGAATGAAAAATGCAACCTTTTTTCAGCATTTGGTTCAAGAAAAATTTACCGCAAATCGAAAAACTCAACGAGAACCAAGAAATCAATCAGCAGCTAGAGTGCCCCCGAAACTAAGCTCAATTAGTAGAAAATTATGTAATTAATCATCAGTTCGAAGTAAAGCTTAAACCCTAAAACCCATGTTACCAAAATCACAAAGCTAAATCATAAAACACAACCACATCAAATCAAATTAACTCACTCCATTCCACTTCTCACTAGCAAATAACACAAATTTCCCCACAAACCCAACATGCAAAACATCAAAACCAAACAAACCCTAAAATTCAGCTCAAGAAATGCACCTTACAAAAACCAGAGCTACAAACTCAAACTTAACCAAGAACCAAACACTCTCACTCCACATTACGTACCTGAGCTAAAATCAAATCGGAACACCAAACGCCGGAAGCCGCCGCCGCTATTCCGGTAACCAAACAGTGAATCAGCAGAGAGAAAGATCGCCGTCAGTGAAGCTTAAGCATTTATGAAACCCCTAATTTACTCTGCTAGTTGAAGCAGGGGATTTTGGATTTCTAAGGTTTCCCTCCAAGGGAAAAGAGAGGGAAAAGTCGGAGGGATCGAAATTTTTATTTTGTCTGAACAGAGGGATGTGGTGATAAATAATTCTCCCAGAAATTTTCTCTGAATTTTTGAAATTTTTTGATCGGTCGAGGACTTTCTTATGGGGTGCACAGGGGAAGGTACGGTACTCGTCGGTGCGGGTGTGGAACGTACTCTCTGTTGGATGATTGACGCGTGGCGGGTTTGTGGGTTTGAACGGTGAAGATGTAGGTTGTTTGTTCGTTTTGGTGTGTAGTGAGGGACGTGCACGTGGGGAAGATTTATATTTTTTTATTTTATGCTTTTCTTGCTGAAATTTCGAAGATGGAGACATATAGTATTATCGTTTTCCAGGTATTTGTCTTAATTTCATTTACAGAGGGACGTCAGTTTTCGGAATTTGTAAACTTTACCCTTGACTTTTGGATATTCCACCATGGCCCCTGTCTTTTTGTGGGCTTTTAATTGGCATTTGGTCACTTTCTAACATTCATTTTGCATTATCGCTCAGTTGCTTAAGAATATCTATCTTTGCATTGGAGATTTTATATTCATTTTTCCATTCTTCGTCTTCGCTTGTTAAAACAAGTTTAATATGAATTAGGAGTAATGAGTTTTAATACTAATCATTATTAATAAGTAAAGTCTTGTATGAAACAAGATAAAAGAAATATGTTTTCGTGTCAAGTGATGTAATATTTAGAAAGATATTTTTATAACGGCTTGTCAACAACTAAAAAGTAACAATATGATACAATCTTAATATCGAACTCATTATAAATTTTGACCAATTCAAGTTGAAAAATGGAGTTGCTCCTTCAGCAAAACTGGAATTAAGTTGAGCCAAAAGATCCCGATTCAAGACAAATTCATGAGGGAGCTGAACTGTAGTATCGTCAAAGCCCTGTGTTCTATAACGTTGAGCCAAGGACACTTTGCCTTATCTATAGAAGCAGTCAACTGAGTTCTAAATGAATTAGCTCCTTGGTAATTGGGATTTTTCAGCCGGTTCCTGATCAGCCACCCCCAATCTTTCCATGTATTGCGGACAGGTGGAGCTGCTAGATCTAGCTTACTGGAAACGTTAAGAGATCAAATTAGGCACTTCACCGAACCTCTACTTTCCTCTCCCTTTCAACCTTCATCAGCTTCATCAGAATGTTTTTTTACTCCATTTCAATCTATTTTGCCCTCTCACTCTTGTGTTCCTAACAAACGAATAGAAAATACATATTGTCTTCATTGGTGCGAATCAAACATCAAACCTCTTATAATTAATTGGAAATTAGGCGTTCCTGGACCAATTAGTCATGAACTGTAGATGAATACTCTAACCAACTGATCTATAAACTCATGCCTATATCATTAGTTTAAAATATTATTTTAGTGCACTTAAAAAGGAAATCAAACAAAACATGATAATGAAGCAAAACATGAGAGACGAAATCAACCTTAAAAATCACATGAAAAAATCTAGGTAGGCATCAAATTTTCAAGTCCTCAAATTTTATTTTTCACTGCGAGTATTAATATCTTAACTTTATCTTATCTTATGAGATCCAAATTATATTTTCATACTCTTTATTAAACAATGATTTTGAATAAAATATTGCATGACCCAATCTGTTAACTTGCGAAAGTAGCAACTAACCATGTAATATCCAAGGTCAGTTGCTAATTGGGTTGTTACTTCTTTTGCAGATGTATTTTTCATACGTGGCATAGCACACAATTAAACCATCCAATATTAGTTTGATTTATCTGCTCATTTTAGCTCAAACCGAGGGTGGAGCCAACTAGAGTCTAGACTATATAGTACACCCTAAGTTTAAAACGACCAAAACTTTTGGTGTTAAAGTAAGAATGTTACGGAAAATTAAGTCTAATACCCCAACAATGGTCACTAAATTAGTCCAGCCCTATATAAATTTCTAGCTCCATCCTTGACTCAAACTAAGTCAAACCACACCATTTAACATTATTAATTTAGTTGTAAAAAAAATAATTATTAATTTAGTCGTAGTTTATAAACACGAAAAAAATTGAATGGATCTATATTCCAAAAAAATAAACTTAAATTGATATTGCCAATAAAGTTCTTATCCATTGTGTAAATATATCCTTGTATAAAATAAAGAACATATTATATAGTTCGCTCAACTGAGCAAGGATTGTATGTTTGTGACCAATTGGCCAAAAAGAGAAGAAGGAAAAATATCCAAAGCTTTAATACAATTCAGCTGCATTTTGTTTGGGCGACTTGTTGAGAATTCAAAAGTTGGAGGACTGTTGCGTAAAATATTGTTTTATAAAGTACCTCGTTGAGAGAATCTCTTTAAAATTTTGAAAGTTGAACCTCATCTTTTGGGAGGACTACGGAAGCTCCACCTACCCTCATATTAAATTGATGTTTTCCACGTGTTTGCCACGACATGCAACTGAAGGGGCCCATCAAACGGCGGCCCCACTTCGTATTTGGGCTCAACTTTAGAGTTAAGGCCCAAAATGATATTGGATTTGGGTTTTGTATTTTTCTTTTTTTGTATTAATTTTGTGGATTTTTAAACATGTCAAAATTTTAGACATGTAAATTTAAAAGGAAAACTAATAAAAATGGTTTGAAAACTTTAAGTTTTAACGATAAAGACAAATTAAATGGTAAAGTGAATAGTACCATAATTGACTTTTTAGTATAAAAATATGGTTTTTCGTTAAAGTGAACAGTACCGAGAGCTTTTCGTTAAAGTTCTCAAATTTAAATTTAAGACCTCATTTGAGAAAAGTGAGCTTTATATTGGTCGTGGGTTGAGAGGGAATCCAACTCTATGAAATCTCATATCCTGTTAAACCTCATTTGTTCAATATTAAATCGAACAGTTGTTAACTGATTGGTATTTTGAAGAGATATGATTCGTTTTGATTTTAAAAATTATGAATGAAAGAGTTAGAGTTCGTTCAATACACAGGATGGCAAGTCCAATTAAATTGGTCGAGTGGCAAGGCCGCTATTTAGTCGGCCTAAATATATTTCGAATTAGGGCACGAACCTTGGGTCGAAATCCAACTGGGGTCTAATTCAATATATATTGTACTCAAAGTCTCATCCAACTATGTACTGTACTCAAAGTCTAATTCATATAATCTAGGCCACCAAACAAGGCACTAACACACTAAGGTGACTAACATGTGTAGAATTTAGTAGTGTTATTTGAAGTATTTTTACTGTATGTATACAGTATATATGTGGGGTAGATTTGTGACACTTTGTTACACAACTTTTGACACGTTTTTGTGAGGCTCACTATATGTATTTCAAGTATTCGAAATCATAGATCCTCCTTGCATAAAAATTAGACAAATTCAAAATTATTAAGACATACATTTGTAATGAAGAAAATAATGAATACAATTCTATAAAGAAACCCTAAACCCTTAGTCCAACGGTCATATGATTTTAGATTTGGGTATTTTTTATAGACATAATCTTTGAAAGGAAGACCTAAAAGATAAATGGTTCGGATCGTTAAATACATTACGAAGCAAGCCCCACAAAAATATGTGCCAAAACTTGTATAAAACAATGGTGTCACGGATCCATTTCATGTATATAAATTACAATGTTATATGGTATTTTGGGGACTGTGAAAGCACTACCCTGAGATATAAACCATTATCCCTCATTTGCATGCAGAGAATTAATGAATTTTTTGTTCAATTATTGTTGTCTTTCTGTTCTGTTAATGGAAGAAAAACAACCCCACGTACGCACCCAAATGCTACAATTGCAAGTGATCATCATCTAATTTAGAAACGAATTAAGTACTCCTCGCTTAATCACAACTTAGAAAAACCTCTCAATTAATGTCCAAATTATTAATTAGTTCCTTTTATGGAATGAATCAATATAGCCAAGCAAGTTATTGTATACGTAAGTAGCTTGTAGTTCACTTGCGGAAAAAAAAAAAAAAAAAATCATTGCACGAAAACATGTGTCAAAAATTGTGTGAAAAAAATAATGACGTAAATCCGCTCCATCATATATGTGTGTGTGTATATATATATATATATATTAAGAGCATATTGCTCCTTTACACTAAACTTTACTGGAATGCGCGCATGCATGGTTGCCTACCCCTTAGATATACATATCCTTAGTTAGTTCCTTACACATTGGAAATCAACTTGATGAATATAACTATGTTAAGTAAACTTCTGAGTTCAGTATTCTTCTATAGTTTATTTACATTTATGAATGGATCAATAAGAGAGTATTTTAAGCATACGCGTACACATCTCAAATATTGCTAGATAATGGTTGTCGCATATGGCAACTCACTGGCAGGGTTGAAACCTATGACGTTTGAGTCTCATCTTCTTGTGAGTTGCCATACTCAAAATTTTACTGACGTTCTCACTGTCAATAAATCACATAGAAGATAAGTTGTTGTGCTTAAAATTGCTGACGAGTACTTCAAGTTACAACCCTAAAAGGATATGAAAAAGTAAGAAATATGTTACTCTACTACATGTAGAGACACCTTCAAACATTGAACCAATTTAGCAATATCAACGTGTCGAAGAAGCTTAATGAAAAATGAAAAACATAAGAACTTGAACAAACATGACATGTATGGGGGGTCCCAATTGAATTTGTGGAGCATCAACATATGGCAATTTTAAGTTATATGCAATGTGTGGGAAAGCAAACGTGGGCTAAAGCGATTCGGCTTTAAACAAAAGCTAAAGATTTGGATCTTAAAAAGCCAAAACTTTGGGACATGCCTTGAAATATCTTTACCATTATGTACAAGTTTAAGGAATATGGGTTGGTCCACAAGACATATTCTCTGCATGATCCATCTATATCCATCAACAAAATGCATCCCACTTGAAAACCCTAATGACTAATTACAGCAAGTTTTCGTGGGACTTCGAATCTCTCTCTCTCTCTCTCTCTCTCTCTCTCTCTCTCTCTCATCACAGAAAGAAGAGACATTTTTGTTTTGATCAGCTAGTGGTTTACAATCTTTAGTCATCAATCCGTACGAAACAAAGCAGATTAATTAAGGGTTGATTAATTAGCAAAAATAGAATGCCTTTGGG